TTTTCAGGGGTTTCCCCCCCCCCCCCTTCTTTCTTTGAGAATCAGTGGTACATCGTAAGTCTGGATAAGTGGCCTTAAATGAACTGCTCCCAAATGCTCCAGTACAACAAACCGCCTGTTTTATTCTGTCCTTTATTTTTTTCTGAGGAGACTGGGGTTACTTTTCTTGGGTTCTGCAGTTGAAAACCAATTAGTTTTTTTACACATAATGACAAATACAGGCAAACGTGCTTACCGCTTTGCAGTGTTTGTTTTCCCCCAGAGAGCACACCACTGGGCAGCATTCCTGTTGGAGTCAAACCTTTCAGCGTCAGCACACTTTCACTCTCTTCTCTGCAGAAGGAAAAAAAAACCAACAACAAAAAAAATCCCCAAAGTAAATAATTGTCTTTTTTTTTTTTTTTTTTCAAATACAGAACAGGTTTGAGACACCTTAAGCTACACCTGCCCTGCAATGATTTGGTTATCTCCAATCTCCTTATCAGGACAGACTGAATCCAGTGACACCACCAGCACCAGTGCAGTTCCCCTCACTGCTCTGTAAGCGTTTCGCCTTTGCACCGCACCGTACGCAGACTCCCACTATAGTTAACACTATAACCTGCATCTATGAAACAACGCATGACATACATTTGAATATATATACACATAAAACCACAAACTTGATAAGAGGAGGGCCAAAGGAGCAGTCACTGCCAACAATATATTTAAGTGTCTTACACCATGTGGTCCAACATCAACTTCAATTGTTTTGGTTTTGTCTCCACTAGCAGTCAGGTGCATTATTTATTAATGATCATCAGCCACTTAAAAAAACACAGCTAAAAGCTCATTACAATTAATAAGCACTTCTACCCTTACTAGCACTGTTCCTAACAGTCTTGTATGCTAAAAATGATACTGCATTCAAGAAAAATGTTTTAGGAAACCTAAATATGTTTTTCCAGTCTTCAAATACAGTTTTTAATATATGGCAAGAGGAATACAACAGCTCTATCCAGACAAGCTGTTAAATACAGCTTTCTCTAAGCACTGTAATGCTGTCTGTGATGATACACTTCCTCAGCAGCAAAACTGACCCCAATTCTTTAAGAGAAACCTATTTTGAAGTGCTTTACTTTGAAATATATAATGACATTAAGCTGGAGGAAACAAACACAAAGACAGAATTTAGTTCCACATTCACTTGAGGATAATGTGGTTTTGTCTATCAAAACTGTCTCTCAGCAATTCTACTACTTACAATTTTCTTTAGACCTACGTGCCCTGAATTACTCACACATTTCAAACAACTCTTTTTTACCTACTACATATACTCTTCAAGTTCTATTTTTAGTTTGAAAATGATTCTCCTTGTACACACTTTTCTTTGCGTAATAGTAAAAATCAAATTGTGACCACTTTCCTTGCAAGTTTCCTAAGTAATTAGGACTAATGCAACAGCCAACTATTTCCAGAATTAACACAGTATTTTCATCAAGAGTTACACACCAAAGTTTTTGCTTTCTCTTGGTTATTTGCTTCTGCAAGCATATGCATAATCTGCATTTTCAATTCAATCCATTTAATCTCTCTTTTTTTTTTTTTTTAAATTAAACCACAATGGCACTTTTAGCTTCACTTTCATATGATAAGTTTATTCACTGTATTTTTACTACCTTTAAACCACATATTCCCAAGAAACCTCCGTATCACAAATTTTGAGATTTTTTTAGCCTTCGGTGTTCCTTATTTTCTATTTGATGCCCTTCTGTTTAAAAAAAAAAAAAAAAAAAAAGAAAAGAAGCTAATATTTTCTTTACCTCCCTCCTGTCTAAATGTATCCAAAAAGAAGTCAGACTTGAGAAACAAAGTCACAGTGAGACAATGACAGGGAATCATGAGGTCTTCCGCTGAGCTTAGGCCAATCTTTCTATGATGGCTATTCTCAGCAAAGCTCATTTATAACCTTTGAAACTCAATGCAATGCTATTCTGATATCTAATTTTGAGAATAAAGTGGTGAATGATCTCAGTGAAATTATCTCAGTTTTACATTCAGGTTACATCCTCGAGGAAGGTGGCCACTCCAGCTCAGAGGAGAGACATTCGACTGAGTCCTTTGAAGGTAGCCAAATCAGGTGCTGATCGTTCCGAAAGACATTTTAAGAATTAGTGAAATAAATTTCAGAAACCAGAAAACAGGAACTTCAAAGGTTTCTGAAATAGGCTGGTTTAGGTGGTGGTGTCACCACAGTCTTTGCAGGGTTATGCACAGTTATCAGGCACTTGTGTGTTAAATGCAGATTGTGCTGGCAGGACAGAAAAAATAACCCAGACTGTTTTATCAGAACAGTATTTGCAAGATTAACCTCGCGTAATCTTTGCTGTCTAGAAGCCTGGCACCTAGCTGAGGAGAATCAACCTTTCCCAGCAGAACAGAAGAGGAGATAACTCCCAGGGGAACAATGGTGGCTGGGATGGAATGCCACCCATCCCCCTGGCAGACTGGTCAGCAAAACTTGGAAGTACCTGTCTACTTGCTGACTATGCCTCTGACCACAGTAAGGATGCGCTGCATTTGCTGGTTAAAGGTAAGGGAGAGCAAATAAATTCTTAGTCTTCAGTCCTTCCTGCAAAGTTTTAAGGTCCATCAGTAACCAAGAACTGTAAAAGGCTCAGCAGCTTCAGTGAGAGAACCACTGGCTTCTCCTCTGCCAGATACAGTCCACTCTGGTCTTCTGGAGATGTTGGGATGCGTGTGGCAGGGGTAAAAAACTGTCTCATGAACAACTCTGAGATGAATTTGACCACTTTCCAGGGAACGATCAAGACTGATTTCCATCAGTGCCTTAAAATGTTGATTTTTTGCAAAATAATTTATTAAGAGGGCTCAAAGTTTCAAGTCGTGCTGAAGCCCTAAGCTATGAGGCTTATGCATATCACTTTAGACAGGGCACACACAAGAATTCTCCTGTACCCTTCCTCCGTCCCTGAAACCATTGAAAAGCTTCTGCCCCATAGTCCCTTTGAAAAAGTCTTTGACATATAGGTGATGCCAATCATCAGCAAGTTGTCAAACCCCAAATATATCAGCTGAGCATTCAAGCCCTTCTGCATATTAAAGTCCACGTTTCTGTTGAATTAATCCTGTCTTTCAAAAGGTGCTCCAGAACAAAATACAGGGGGTCTAGCAGCTGCAGTTCAAGGGTATGGGAGAAAGACAGGTTTCCCAAACTTTGTTTGCTCAACTATCATCAGAGAAAAATAATCCTGCTGTTTTATGAAGGTGGTGGCAATGTCACCTCCGGGCTCTCTGCCAGACGTGGTACAGAGGAGTAGGTGGAAACATTCGATTGCTCCCCCGTCTTGTTTAAGGAAAATGCATGATGCCAACTTTTCTCTTTTTTTTATGGGTACCACTTTGAAGTAGCTTTGTGCATCATTAGTAATTCACATATAACACTTTGGGAACCCCAGGTACAAAGTCCTCCATCTCAGTATGCTATTTAAAGCTACGCTGCTGCAATCTGCAACGCGTGGGCGAACTGCTGTGTCCACGCGAGGCCCCACTGACAACCTGCCCACTGCTTGCATGCTGCAGAAGTGTCTCAAATCAAGCAAGTTTGAGAGTTTCATCTGAAAAGAAGAGTGTATTCTTCAAGTAACTATTTTTATTTCCTCTTTTTATATCAATCATACAATCATACCAATATGTTTTTTAAAAATCCCTTGATTTTGCACTAACCATAATAGCCATAAACTGACTATAGCAGAGCAACATACGATTTCCTGACAAAAAAAAAATCCCTCTGCTGAAAGGGAGGGAGAACTGTATTTTCTATATTTAGACTTCAGCACAGTACAGCATGTTTTCTCTTCCGCTCAGACACATCAAACGGAGAGTTCTAAACATTGGGTAGCAATTAGTTACTCATGCTCATGTGTTTGGGGGAGTGCAGCCCAAGGTAACGAGTTGCTGTTGTCTGCAAAATGATTTCCTGGATTTTTAGTTAAATGACCCTAATGCTTTCATCTTTAATCATCTTTACTCATGGCTGTAGCAACAACTGCGGGTGACAAAGCGGGACAGTTGGCTTCCTTTTTAATGAGACATGGTGTGGAACATACCTTTTCTCCACATCTAACTCTTTCCTCGCAGTGGCTAAGAGTTAATTAGTATACCTGGTGAGCAATAGTCTTTTTTTAAAAAAAAAAAGGTAAATGCAATTTTTTTTGCTGATGTCTTTTGTTTGTCTGTTTTACCCTCAGCAAAAGTCCTTAGGAGGAAGATTATTCAGAGCCATAACAACAGTATTGTACAAATAAAGCAATCATTAAAAGGTTCCAGTAAAACTCAGTTGGGTGGCATACTAAATATCAAATTTGCTGTTTGATTAACAGTAGAGTGCTCCAAGTAATCATTCAAAGATGTCCTTTTAACATTAAAAAACATCTGAAACAGCACAAAACCTTACCTTAACACTGAGAAAACTCTAGCCATTTTTCCTATTGCTCTTATCTTGTTCCTTATAACCTCCTTCCGAGCAGCAGCTGTTGCTCCTATGGAAAACACATTAAAACCAGTTATAAGTATTTGTAAACAATACATCACTATTCTGAACTCTAAATACAAGAAACATCATATTGATGCCACAACTTGCCAAACTGACCCACATTTGTAGTCAAAACTGAAAATACTATTTTTTTTGTTATTTACAGCTCTAGACTGACCACTTTTGAAGAATTTAGTTATTACTACCTTTAGGGATGCGATCCTTTTCCTGATACACGTTAAAGCTGCATGTTTTTTCGTCAATGTAAGCTAATTTTCCATTTCAAAAACATTTTCAGAGACCATACCCTTTTGAAAACAAGTTTCTTAGAAAATAGTCAAAATGCCAAAAAGATATTTAATATGAACAGTGTCCAAACCACCATTAAAAAAAGTTAAAAGAAAAGTTAAACAACAATGGAGTTAAAATGTACTTCATAGTCTTATCATTTTAAGAAAATCAATCATGTTTGACTTAATTTTCTAAAAAAAGTGATTGGGTTAAGCTTAAGGCCTAGAGGGTCCAGTTAGGGTTTCCCTATCCCTAGTTAAAAAGTATTTAAATGGTTATAAAACCTAAAGGCAGAGTCCTGAAAACCAGCATGAAATGGTAGGGATTGCACTGGCTGGCAGTGGTTAAGACAGTTCCACAGAGCAAATTCCTTCTCATCACTGCTACGGCCTGCTCAAAATTACAATTACTTTGAAATTTGTGAGCTCACACAATAATCTGCCTTAAAAAATAACATATGCTGGAACAGAGACTACAGTTCAGCTAAGTTTGCATGTGTGCTTGTTACTTGGATATCATCAAAAACTAGAATATTATCTCTGCATCCGAGAGAGAACCACCTGAATGGGAAAAGGAAATAGTACTAAGTTATCGGAACGAGGAATTTCTTTTAATAAGGACCCCCCACATCCCCAAGAAAATGCCATGTTATACTAAGTAAACCAGTTTCATTTAATTATCACAATCACAACCACGTACATCGCGAAGGTTTCTGAATGACAGGTAACCTTGGCTCGCGTGGACGCTGCCTGACATCTCCTGCCTCAGGGGTTCAAGAGTGCAACCCAAAAACCGCTACACATCACGATAACGCTTCCTTCTTCGTTGCTCCAGAATTCAAGGACAAAAATGAAAATTTCTATTTTCAGTTCCTAGCAAATTGATCCGTTTTATAAAGCAGAGTCCATCACGGAAGCTAAAATAGCAGAAAAGGCCAAAAAATTGAGGCGGCAGTTGTGGCAGCAGAGGGGACGGCCCCAGGGAGCCAAGGCAGCGGCAGGGACGGCCGCCCATGGGCGCGGGGGGTGGGCGGCTGATGGATGCAAGAGGTGAAAAGCTGCAGAAGACACGGCCGCGGGGCCTTGCCATGCAGACCTTCCTTCACTGTCTTATGAGGGCGAAGTGACTCCAGCCAAAAGGGCTCGTAGCGAAACGCGGGCTCCGCTGGACTCAGTGGCAAAAGTCCCATCTGCTTCAGCGGCGCCAGCGATTCACACGCTGCTCCTCCTTCCTCTGTGCGGTCCCAGCTGCTCGGGGCAGTGCTGGAGGGGTCCAACGCTGCCATGCGGGAGATTTGCTGGGTGGCTTCTGGGACCTGACTGAGCAATAATTCTCACAGTTTCAGCTGATGGCAGCCTCCTGGCTCTTCCATCAGGCACTGTCACCTTTCCTTCTGCAGATTTCTCAGTTACAATTAAATTTGTAACAGTTTGAGACTACAGCTGGAACCACAAGCATTGCTTCATGGTATTTACTAGATGACTAGGTGGTCTGGCTGATATCACTGAGAAGAGGTGAAAAGGAGGTACTTTTTTTTTTTTTCTCCTGTGCTTGAATTTCAAACCATCCTTTGCAAAACACTTTCAAAATTGACAAAAAACTCAAGTCACAAATCCTAGAGCTATTCAGAAGAAAGCTAAGTAACCGTAGGAACAAGCATTACAGACAACGACGTAAAAACTCAGGATGAATCTCACCGCAACTTTTAACATTGTGGTCGAGATCGAGTTTAACCCCAAAGAGTGCAAGGGGTGAGTTTGATAAAGTGGGAGCTCGACAGCCAGGCACGGGGAATCATCCTGCGGAGCTGCTCGCGCGGTCGCGTGCCCCTGACCAGCCCGTGTACAAACGGGTCCCACACGAGCCAGCTTGTACGTGCCCACAGCCATCGCAATCTGCACGTTCAAATGTTGGTAACTGTACGCTTACGTACTGCGATATATTACGTACGCTGAGGAGTGTAAACTAGATGTCTTACAGTCTTGCATGCTACTTTTGCACGCATCCATCTCTTGGGGCAGGTATTAACGCATTATTTCCAGGCATTTCTAATTGTCCTCCTAGACTGTCTTGAAATTATGAGCCTGTATCTTGACGTTCAAACTGAAAGAAACTACGCTCAGAATCATAGCTTTCAGATCTCCCACATATAAAGATAAAAATATAAAGATATTAAAAATGTAAAGATAAAAATATAATGATATAAAGTCTTAGGCATAAACGTCTAATTCTAGGCAATAAAGAGTGGGAGAAACAGCTGTAGTTCAGCTGTAACTGAATTAAATATAATATGTTCCTAAGAGCTTAATGAAAAATTTAAATTAAACAGCAATGATTCAGCTTGGTTCTTCAGGAAATAGAGGGGGTACATTCCTGCCTCAGTTACTACGATCTCACTAAATTGTACTCTCAAGATACACAAGACATGGTTTTCAGCCGTTTTTTACCCTGAAAGCACTTAAACACAATTTGTCTTTTTTTTTTCCCCCACAAGTGTCACTATCCTTATTTGTTTATTACAAACCCACACTGTTCTAGTAGATCTTATAAGTGTTTTTTCAACCTTTTTCTGTTTAACCTCCAGAAGAGTTGAGAACTGAAAACGGTAAATGTAATTTATCACTAAAGTGAAATACAATGCCCTACACTTAAATATAAAATAAGAATGGAAAACCAAATACCTAATCATAAAACACAACAGGCTCAACGGGAGTATTTTGTTTCTCATCAATGGACATAAATGGTTACTAAAAAAAAATACACTTAAGAGATTTTGGTCTCCACTGAATTTCCTCATTTGTAACACAGCTGTGAAAATGACTTTAAATATTCTATGTTTACTAACTATTAGTAATGATTTTATTTATCCTATTTGGTTTTTTTAACCATTATTTGCTAATCCACAATGTTTTATTGCCCTGTTAGTTTTGACTGAATACCACTAACCTGATATAGAATTTGGATTCCCTAACTATTTATACATAAATCTTAGACTCCCATTTCAACGGGAGTGCATACTCCAGTTCAGTATTCTGAAATTCACTATTACTGCAAATCCTTATGAATTACTTCAGCTGCACTTAAGAAATACACTTATGTGAAAGTAAATGGGTCACAACCTGAGAACTGGCTATGGGTAAAAGGGTGAATTTTAGCCTTTGCGAACATTGCCTGATGTCCTCTGAAGTTTTTGCTTTTCTTCCAATGCCTAAACAAACCCTATTTGCATGAAGGAATTTAAAAAAAATAAATCATGAACACAGCCGAGTTTAAAATTGGAGCGGAAAAGTTATTTGGGAGGTAGAATAAAAGCTTTGAATTTTAATTCAGTATTTTAACAAGTTCTATTGGATTTTGGATTTGTAGCATCCAAACACAGGTCTTGCAAGCTGGATATGTAGGACCTATGTGAAATGTAATTTAGACCTTCAGATTAAGCACCAGAACAATGAAAAGAAAAAAAAAAAGGACTATAAACTCTGAAAATATTTCAAGATGTAGGATTGAACAGATAGAAGACAATACTGAGTAAAAAAGCCAAACCCAAATCTCTCACCGGTATCCTAATATATAATATTAGCTAATTAAGCATTAGAAAAATGAATGACACTTAAGCCTTCCAACTTATTGAATACCTTTCTTCTGTGCATAAATGGGATCTTCTTATGAATTCCAAAGGGGGGGAAAGAAAAAGATCAGTGACGTTTGTAGAATGAAAATAAAAAATAAATACAGAACATTTGACAACATCAATGGAAACGCAATGTTTAAGTAAAGTCTGAAAAACAGAAAAGAAACAAATTAGGCAGGGAACATCCAAAAGGAAAGAAACAGATTGAGAATGATGGGGAAAAAAAAAGAAAACCGCCCCTTTTTTCGCTTAAAGCCTTGTTAGTAGGTTTTGCAGGAAACGAACATGCAGGCGAAAGATCAACAGTGAAGCTTAGCCTCAGTGTTTCCCACCCCTTGAACACGTACTTTCTCCTACATTGTTGCAGCTGCTTTGATGAGGCTTAATCACTTCTCAAAACCAGTCTGATATCTGAAAGAACAGCTTACTATTGTCGCCACGTCTGCTGCTTCTACCAAAACCTGCGCTATCTACCGCACCCGTGCATTTGTTCAAGTGGTCCAGCAGCTTGCCGTTGTCCAAGCCAAATGCCACCGTCGTACGAGGTATTGCATTTTAAAATCGACTGTGCTTGAGAGCAAGACCAGTGCAGCACTCGGTGCCCGGGCAGACCTGCACCATCACACGTGCTTTGGGGACGCGGGTTACCCAGTGCACGCTGCTAGGCTGGTTCAGAGGCAGAGCACGCCAACGTGCCCTAGCATGGCTTACATGAAAAATGCTTTGGGCATGGAAACAACCACACCTGGCCAAATAAATGAACGAATCAATGAATAAATAAAAAGATCACATTAAAATGCCCCTCTGCCACCAATTCACAGATATTAGGTATATATTGCAGCCCAAGCGTGCTGGTTCAGGGGAAGAACAAACATAAATCAGCGGGAAAAACCCTCCATTTCTCTCCTAGTTAAAATTTAACTCGCTGAAAAGCTACGACTCTCTCATCTGCCCAGGTAGTATCACGAACACCCTTATCAAGGCATCGGTCAGTAACTGAGACTTAATGATGAGGCCTTTGGTTTTGCTCAGTCATTCTCTGTGTTAGTTGGCGCAGAGCTTGCCCCCGGCGCAATTTATTGCACTGCAGAGTTGTGACAAATTTCTACGCCGCTCTTCACAGCGGAACCAGGGTTTGACCGGCAGGAGATGTTTGACTCGGTAGTTCTCTTTGGGCTCGGACTACAGCACGATACTGGGGAAGCTGTATTCCTACCCAGGAATAAATGCCGCAGCTAGCACTGTGACAGCGGCTTTTCCATGAGAAGGCTGCGAGCTACAATGTTGAAGGCAATACAAAAATTAATGCAGGTAATTTAGGAGTGCCTTTATGCCAAATCATGATAGCGATGCATACAAAGCAAGCAGTGCATTTGTGTCAAGTTGTCTATTACATTATTGCACCCTTTTAATTAGCAGCTTTTTTTTTTTCTTTCCTTTTTTCCCAATCAAATGCAAGAGGCTAGAAATGTTGCTAATTAAAGTAAAATGGGACTCTGACTCTATGCTGGCTGGCTGGGTAGAAGTATTTGCAGCTCCTGTTGCTAAGCGATGTGTTTGATGCACAAACCCTAAAGCACACGAGCTAACGTTCACCCAAGACATTTTTTGCTAGATCAGATTATATTGCAACCACCATAGCAAACAGGGATGAGAAAGTACACCAAGAGGAAGCTATCAGAGATAAGAAAACTTGACATATCATATCCTCTCATTTTTAAAGCAAGCAAAACCAAAAGGCCAATACAGGCCAGCAGGGAGATATGGGCTAAAGGGCACTACGATTCCTATTTAGGCTTTCTCCCAATAAGCATACGCAGAAACTGCCTACAACAAATTGATCAGATTCCCATGATGTGTCTCCTTAAGGAAAAAAAAAAAAAAAAAGAGGAAAAAAGGGAATACACACTGTTGAGCATCCTGCTCATGGCTAGATGCACCATGCATGACTCAGAACAAATAATAATAATGGCTGATAAGAACACCATGCAGTGAGGTCAGGCAATACTGACGGGGCTTATTTTTGAATGGGGAAGTGAGAGGGGAAGACAGGGCAAGAAAGTGTAAGAAAAGATAAGAAATGAATGATCAGTGCAAACCATAGTGATGGATCATTCTCATTACATGTGGGAACCCAGGTCAGGGCATGTTCAAACTGCAAGGAGAGAAAGGAAATCAGCAGCAAGCCCTGCAAACCACCATTGATGCAAAAATAGGCGATGATTTTAAAGAATCATTCCATCAAACAAAATGTATCTGCTGTTGCAGATATCAGGCATTTCCTTCTACAGGAAATACTGCTAAAGAAAAATAGGACTGAACTACTGCAGTCCTTCAAGGAAGCTGGACAGAAATTATTGAAGAGTGAAAATGTTGAACCACGACAAGACTGTCCATATACTGCCCTTACAGAAACAGTTTTAAGCTGATAATCATTCCAGTCTGTTTCATCAAGAACACAAATGAAATACATCTTGTAGTTTCTCCCCCAAAAGGCAAGGGTCTAATGAGGAGAAAAAAAAAAAAAAAAAAAAAGAGTGGGAACTCAACTATTTCTGAGAGAAAGAGGATTTTCCTTTGTTGTATGGCTAATAAATCCGAACCCACCAGGAAATCATTAAAGATATCAGCCTCTATGTAAATTTACATCAACCCTCAAATTTACTTTTATGCCAGAATCTTTCAGCCTCTTCTATGTGTACGATGCCCACGAGCCCCCCGCTTCCCGCGGGCTGGAGGTACGAGCGTGCGCCCACAGCAAGCTGCAGCACTAGCGCCACAGATCCCATTTTACAGCTCTAAGGGGATTATCCGGGAAAGCAGACACGAGCATATGCCAACTCTGGTTTTAACTACACATGCTAAAGGCGACAACGTTTCTAATGTCTTCCTTAATATAAAGTTTTACACAGAGAAAGCGTTCATAGAGAAAAATAATCTGAAGGCAGATTTAGACAACAGTATTAGCATTACAGTACCGGGAATGGTTTAATTATTCCTCATCTGGAAATGTTAACGCTGTTAGATATCGTTATGCAGTACACACACATGCAAACCCAGAGGATTTCAGCCTGCCTCCCTGCTTAGACACCTGCAATGCTGCAAACTCCATGTCTGGAGGAGATCTGTGGTAAAACTCCCAGCGAGACGGAGCGGGAGGTTCACCCTCCTCCCAGAAAAAACATAGTAGATGCAGAGACCTCCTGCAGCTGCTGTCCCCAAAGACGCCTAACGCCTCGCCATTTCTGACTCTGCTTTTGAAAACGTGCTCCGGGACTGTAACTCAGGCATGGAAACGCTGACACACTACAATTTTAGAAAAGGACTACAGGCATCGGTCTATCTTTGCTCAGCGGAAGTCGAGTAGTACAACTTTAAAGGAAAGTATTAGGCCAATGCTGAATTAATTTAAAAATCCTTCCCATAAAGCCTTTGCTTTGGCATTGCATTCAGTGGGATTTCAGCCTGCGCTTAAGTGCTTTCTTGAGCCAAGGATTTTAAGCACATGGTTTTCTTGCTACTGTATTTAATTTGACACAGTTTTTACTCATTGTATCCCTCCGTACTGTTTCACACGTTGCTTTAATTACACAGTAGCTACTTATTTAAATTTCATGAGAAAAAAATTGGGCATAATATTCAAACAGGTGTTTTCTTCTCTCTACTGATTACTGGTTTCAATAAATTCAGTCTTTGTCCCAAGTCCTGCAAGATAATTGTTCACGTCCACACTCTGTGGAGGATACAGAACGGGGAATTCCATCTGGCTTTTCAGAGTAAAAGCAAAGCACTATCATCCAAAACCTTCTTCTCCATCGCAAAGGAAACATTTGTCAAAACCTGTGATCTAGGTTCCTCTTCTAAAGATTAAAAATAAAGACTTTGAGAGAGAAGTTTAATTATTAATTACAACTTCATTAAATATTTGTCTTACTTTACAGTTCTTCATTCTCCCTGTTCATTCATTCTACCTACAAACATCTTGAGAATACTTGATATTGCTATATTTTTCCAGGTTATTTTTTACTTTTTTAATATTTCTGTTCTTTTCCTAGAATTTTTTTTTTTTTAAACACTGAAAGCATTCATAGTAAGAACGTTAGGGATGCATGGGATTTTTTTTCAATTTTGCTCAATCGAGAAGGGACATTCTGGAGAGCTGCAATTTACTCTTGCACAGCATAACAGAAAATAATGACTAATAAAATAAATCGACTTCTAAGAATCCTCAGATTGCTAGATATAAAGTATCCTTTACAGTCAAATTACAGGTACAAGGCAACTTATCATCATATAAACTCCAACCCAAGTGACAATGGAAGTGATTATTCCTCTCTTCTTAGCAGAAATGCCAGGTCAGAACATTCTCTATCTGTGCTTGCATGCTTATTTTTATTGACTATATTGCTTCTTAAATGCCTTTTAGATACACAAGTGCATTAAAAGAAGCAACTGATGAAATATTTCAAGTACAAGTCTTCCGAAGTTACAGTACTGACATTTTGGAAGGAGCTCTGCAGGAAGCTTATTTCACTGTAGGAAAATCATTTTGTTGACATAATTAAACTTCCTATCCCTGGGATCTTATGCATAAAATCAACATCTGACCCCTTCATGACAACACAACCCAGATTTCATGGAGGGAAATACTTTTTTTTTTTTTTTTAACCCCAAACAGGAAAGGGTTAGAACAGGGTAGAACTTCTATTAGTTCTTTCCAAGCATGCAGTAAGCAAATCCACTGGAGTCTAGCACACTAGCTGCTTTCAGCCGCACAGAACTTAAACAGGACCCAGAAAATTATCCCAGGGTTAGTAAATAAACTTTTAAAGTAGTTTCAAGGCAAACAATCTCAACCAAGGGCAGGAGGCTCTTACCATCAAACCCATCTTCCTCTGTCCCCAATTCATCATCTGAGCAGATGTTCAGCACATTTACCAGCATCTCTGTCACTAAAATGGAAAACAAATGCAAACTGTTGATATTAAGCTTCCCTGGTCTGTCAGAGCAAACTGTAGCTGTAGCAGTGCTAAAATTCAGTACAGAAATAATACCCACTTTTTAAATAACATGGACCTTGTTTTATGCACATAGTAATATAAGCTTGAAGTGTCTCATCTATTACAGGTTTCCATAAAAATTGTTCCAAATATAAGAAACAGCACGACAAATAGACCTTAAAAAAATAATGTGTTTACAATCTCTCTTCTTGCAATTGTCAATGAACTAGGTAACTTTTGTTTTCTCCCCCCCGCCCCCAATACATTTTCGCCTTTCACTCAACTTGGAAAGCAGAACTGGCCACTCTCGTCTTGCTGCTACATTGCAGTAGGATTTGAATTCCCTGCTTAGCAAATGGAATGACATATCAATTGAAAAAGTTAAGCAAGAGGGATCACAGAATATTTATTTATTTATCCAGGTTCTGGGCACTGTACTTTCAATTCAACAAAACATTAATGCTTGTAAGATGTCTACAAAGGAGCAGTGTCTCTTGAAATCCAAGACAAATAGACTAGATGATCTTTGTAGGTCCTGTCCAGCTGGAACTATTATATATTTAATAGAAACGTCATTATCAGTGAATTCAGAATCTATTCAGCTTGCTTACTTAGCAACTCGGGCACAGGAGGGTCAGCCTCAGGCTACCCCTAACCTGGTCCCAGCTCCTTCTGGAAAGGCAACAGTGAGACACTAACCAGGGAGCACACAGAGTAAGAACAGTCAAAAAAAAACCCCAACCAAAAACCCAGCAAAAATCACAATCAAGGAAATGGAATTTAGAAATCGAAAAAGCTGAAGTTACAAGGTAAAATGTGAAATCATTAGCAGAATGAGAAAAACTCCACTATATCTACATGTAGTAAGCATCATTAAAAGGGTTACCAGGCATGTCTAGCCTTGCACTAACTACACAGGTTGAAAGTTTAAATTTTTTAATCAAGTGGTTATTGAAATTCTCTTCTGTGGCAATTATGATGGCTTAGCACATTAGAAGGGTGGGACACAGCTATATTTTTCATACATTAGTGAAGGATTTAATATTTCCCTTTGACAGGATTAGTGGAAAGACTTTCCACACTAACAACCACCAGCGAAACTAACAGCTTCCTACCTTGGTTGGCCTTTAAGGAAAAAAAATCTATAAAAAAGGAAATAAATAAAAAGCTGTGCAGAACATCAACTCTTACATCCATGAGTTTTGTTTCGCAGAGAAAGGAAAAACACTGATTTAACTTCTTGAGGCTCCAGAAGTTCCAAGCAATTGGTAAGAGTGACCACTGGGAACACATGAAGGAGAAAAAAAAAAAAAACCCAAACCCACCCAAGGAAAAATATGAAGGAGGACTGTTCATGGTCTCAGAACCTCAACAAGTCTGGCTGCGCATCCTGCAGCCTCACCTGAGGAGGACACCTATGGGAAACCTCTGGAAAAATGACCTTACGGAGCATCTTACAGAACCGCAATGTGCATGGAGAATAAGCCCATCCTAAAAATGGCCTGGCTGAGTTCATGGCTGAAGAAAACGAAAACATTTTATCTGCTTCACAAGAGTTTGCAACATGCATCAGCGTGGATTATGTAATATCTCCATTAGTGGAAACAGCTGTCTATTCTTTGTTAATCCCCATTTTATTGTCTATCTGCTTTGTTCACAGAGACCTCAGGCATCTCACCAGCAGCTTTCCTAGTACAAAAGAGTAGCTGAAAACAAAGCCGGTCATGACTGCAGGTAAGAGTCACAGCTGACTGTATTTCCAGTTGCCTATTAAGAGAGAACTGTTATTCCAAGCAGCTTTTAAGAGTTTATTATAGTTTTCTGGCAGTAATTGCTGTTGCAGCAATATACTATAATGGATGGATCAAAGCAGGCTTCATCTCAGGCCCTGAATAAAATGACTTAGGGTTTAAGTAGTTTGCATTATGTATTCATTTAATATGTTAGACCAAAGTGTTTTCGTGCCTTTTGTGTGCTTGCCACTCATAGCATGAAGCTGTCTTCAGGCAACATCAAGAGCACTGTGTTTCAATAAAACACCATTTGTGTTCTTTAGAGTCGTCTTGCCAGCAATGAGGCACTGCATGCCCTGGGCAGAGAAGAGGCTGAAGAGCAGGTTTTCCTTCTTCCTGCCGTCTCACTACTCCCTTCAGGAACAGTTAACCAGACTGGGTCTTAGCATCACCAGCTCTGTGTTTGCTGGTAGAAAAAGTAACCTGTCATCATCTTATCAGAAAGGTCACCTGGGTAAGGGTGTAACCATGATGCAGTGAAGTCTGCTGTCATGTCCCTTGAGCAGTAAGCCATATCCAAGGGAATGCCCAAGAGCTTATAAAGGAACAACTAAATTAGAATTTTATTCAGTGGATGCACCTCTGGCTTGCAATGCCATAAAATCTATTTCTACAGCAGAAACATAATTGCTAGTGGAAATTATAAAAACATATGAGAAGTGTGATTAACCACATGTAATTGCTTGCCCCTCCTTGTCCTCGAAAGCAAGTCATCTGTCTTCAAATTATTCTTGCCATTTCAAATAAACAAGGCCACCTGCAGAGTAACTAAGAAACCATTTTGCAGTTTCTACGAGCAGAGCCAATTTACATACCTTTCTCACCCACGAACGGCAAGGACCAGGTAAACACATCCATGAAGTTTGGAAGCCAGTATGGATGAGGGGAGCAGTTGAACTGTCTGATATTCATAACGTTGTTCTCGTATTTCAATACTGCAGCTAGAAGGGAGAAAGGAAAGGAACAAGAGACGTCAGCCATGCACGCACGACTGGCTACCAGACCAGTAACGCCCATGGCGAGCGCAGCCTGCAGGGCTGCTCACCAGCTTTCAATCACTTGACCCATTGGCAGCACTTGACTCTAGTTATAATAGGATACAGCCTCAAAGAAGTTGCAAGCCATTTCCAGTCTGAAAGGTGTGTCATCAGCTTTCCCTGGCACTAAGATGCATTGGTAAGTGAATTAATCACTCTGAGTAGTCATGAACTTCGGTTCTGGGATCTGCTACCAGCAGAAAACAAGGCAGACTGTCCACATCCACCCGTGTCACACGGTTACCTGAGCTCCTGACAACCACATACAGAGCACAACCATAACAGTTTATCACTCACAGTTTGAATTCTGCTTTTCCAATGAACGTTTTCAACATAATTCAATCATAGTATTGTCCACCAGATGATACTTTCTTCCAACATTTTTCAAACTCCAGACACACAAGAATGTGCTCCCAATAGTATGAATGAATAACAATACGATTTGTCTTGCACTGTTTAAAATTCATAACATTCTTGTCAACACACACAAAAAAAGACTACATTTGCTAATGGGCAGAAATATAGATATTTATGCCATTGCTGCTTTTTAAAGCGCCAAGTAAATTTCAGTGTTAACTTGTGTTAATGGACTTCAGGTTTATATCTGAAACAGGATCTGATTAACTTCAACCTGTTTTTAGAATATTAATAGAACAAAGTAAATCAAAGTATTACAAAGCATATCAGCAAGAAACAGCTGTTTATTTCTAGAAGAGACCATAGCTGTACACAGGCCCAGTGCAGTCAAAAGTCAGATGAAAGAGGGAAAGGCTGAACGTGGCTTGGGTAGAGAGGGCCGAGAGCGCAGGAGGGGGAGAAAGGGACAATATCAGTTTGGTTAGGGAGGTGCAAAGTAATCATGCTGAAAATGTGGCAGATGAAATAAAATGAACTCTACAATAAGCCTATGTAACTGCCCTTATCAAAACTCATTCTCCAAAGCATGGGGTTTGGCCAACGCTATGCTAACGCTACATTCCACATCAAATCTAGACTTTCATGCACTTTTACTTTTTTTTTTTTAATAACAATAAGTAGTTATTAGGGTGCTGTAGATTACTCAAACCTCAACCTATTCATTGAGACCACCTGGAAGAACACAGGGTGGGGATGGGTTTGGCAGCTGTTTGTATCACAGGTCTATTTGTTGGCTTTAAAAGAATGTATTGAGGGAGAGCTTTCAATAATACAGTCTTTCAATAAAAATCATGCAGTGCTGGATTTCTTTTGTTCACTTTATGGGCCAACTGCCTCAGCTTAGGAAACAGTAAAACTAAATCTCATCCCTTCTTTCTCCTCTTTTTCTTTTTCTTTCTTCTTGCAAAGGCACACGTAATGTAAAATCTTAATACTGCAGTTGAAGACTCAACCCGGTAACGTATCTCTAACCTAATCAGGGTATACTTTAATTTTCAGAATCTGTTTCCTGAAATTCAGTAATTTCTAAATTGCACAGGCACAGAATACATGTGCTGTTGGATGTGAACAGAGCCCTTTATGAAATGGAAGAGCAAGTATTTCTTTGCTCATGGAGAAAAAGGTAATTTTGAGATGACCACCTAAAACCAAAGGGACACATAACTACCCTGAACACAAAGACATAAAAGTTTTTAAACAATACAGTTACAGGAGACTACAGACAGGATCTTTAATCACCAGGGGACTAAGACAGTCAACACAAGTTGAAGCTACCATTCACTGTAAAAGGTGCTGGCACTTTACATTCTTATGTAAATGTAGTTCCAGGAGCTGGTTATCACTTAATAGCCAGCACTTGCAATGAAGTTGCACAACAGCAATATGTCTCAGCACCGTATGAAATGCAGTGTACTGCAACGTTGGCTGAAGGGGTGAACAATTTTTTCTAATTATTCATCTCCTTCCATTGGCTAAAGTGTGCATCAATCAGACAACAAACTTTTTTTGATGCACTAGACTGTTGCTTCCTACAAAAATTTAATAGGTTGGCAAACATCTTCCATTTTGTCGCCAATGACAGAGTCCAGAGTGACCCGGGAGTTTCTGAAGCCTGCTCGCTGATACACGCAGAAAATGGCTCGCTAATATTTACATCGACTTTTGCCAGCCAGCCACTCTCCATTTAAATAAACCACATTTGACTCTTACCCATCCTAGTCTGACAACTGGCAGCCATTCTGCTGCTCAGGAAAATAAAAAAGGCTTCATACTGCTATTAGCAAAAATGAGAAAACTAGTGTCAATGCTCTTAATATTTCCAGCACTTTTTGGCTGAAATTACATATGGCAGATCAACATTCATTCTCCTTCTATTACAGTGACACAATTGCATAATAAAAATAAATAGTTTGTGGCTTTATAGCAAAAGTGAGTCCAAACCACAAAAAGGACCACTTAATGGTTGTGAAGATTCATTTAGAAGGACTAAAACTTCAGCTTCATCATCTTAGTGAGCTAAGGTAGTTCTCCTTCCCACTATTTCTTCACTTTACCCATTAAGTCTATTTCTAAATTCTGTGAAAGTTGAATAAATAATTTTTACAAAGAACTTTTAAAACTGGCCTCTAAAAAAAGCCTGAGCCATAAGCAGGACAGGTGGAAAATATCAAATTAAATATAAATAGCTTTAGTTGTTTGTTGGGGTTTTTTTATAGAAAGATAATTTGCTTTGAGATTACTGTAAAAAAAATTTTCACACCACTTTATTAATATAAATACCTGAATATCTTTCAAAAGCAAGTTCCAATAACAGTATTTTTAAAACTATTCTCCTCTGTAAATGACCTGTACAGCTCTTCTCCACAAATGACTTCAAAAAGCCACTTGAAGAAAAATAACACTGTACAATAGAGCAGTGTAATGACAGAGACAGAAGTCAGAGGTAGAATAACCCTACTCTTAAAAGAATAAAATAAGGCATGGTAGTTACCAATATTCCAAAAACACTGTTCTAAACTTTTAATTTAAAATCTTTCATTTACAAGCACAATGTACACAAAATATTTTTATTAGGTAACTAATGAAGATGATATTTAACATTAAACAAACTGGCTCTGGTTACGATTGTGCAGCCCTGACTACTCCTCAGTAGTCAGAAGAAGAAACTTCACCTGGATCACAAAGCAAATGCTTCTCAGGTAGCAGCAGGAGTTTCCCTGAGCTTTTCTGGCGCCTTGCTTTCTTTTGGCCATACCTCTTTTTTCCCCTCTCTGTTGGCTCATAAAAGGTTTGGTGGTTTCACCTCTGCTTCATTTCTTAGTTCATATTAACTTGATGCCTACGTAGCTACAGAAGAGCCCAGCTGCCCTGAAAAAGCAGGAATCTTCTGGAGATTATACAGGCCACGTGGTCGCTGATGGAGAAGACAGAAGAAAGCTGGATGGGTTCCTCTGGTTATGAAACCCATAACTGAGGAAAACCTGACTCTCTCCAACATTTCCAAGTTCAGTTGCTTATTATTCCAGGCTGCAACCCCTACACTTTTCTTTCCAAGTGTATACTCAGACAGATGCTAGCAGACCAAGCCACCAGTGACAGTTTTATCGTGCATAATCACCAACCAGAGCAAGAATTTTATTTTATTATTCTTAACAGCCACACACATTTTAACCTAATTTTGGTACTCGCTGTTGTAAATGAGTTTTAGAAGCTAATGTTTTGTAAAGTGAAGATGTGCAGATATCCCAAATGACATTATACTTCTTTCCAATGCTAGTAAACTGAGATATCGGATGCTGAAATCACATTAGAGTGAAATGAAACACTAATGCAGCAGGCAAAGGGCATTCGTACTGTTTAGCTTTAAGCATTTAACATTGGTACCTAATGCTGGAAATACAGGTGGTGAAAAATGTGCAGGTAAGAAACCTCCTTCCTTCAGCTAGAAACTATTACAGCTCTTCTATCTATCTATCTATCTATCTATCTCAGGGTCAAATATAAGCACCCAGTGCCATCTGAGACACCCCGGGGCATCTCCCTGTTAAAGATGAGCCTAGAGCATCCCTGTTCTCCCATGTCCGTCTGTCCTGTCAGGTCTGAGTGGATGTCTCAGACCTCTCTGGCATCTCAAATGGGGCTTTAAAAACGTGTATGTTGGGAGTTTAATTAAGGCCTTAAGCCACATGAACAATGTTAAATTGTATGACTCATTGTTCAGAATTACCCAAAGACATTATATCCTGCTTCAAGATCTGCTGAATCATTTTCCAGTATAAATTAATTGATAACATTTCCATCAGAGGAGAAAAATAATGAGCACGGCAGAAACACTAGCCCAGAATGAACTACACGTTTTTAGATAAACAACCTCAAAATAATTTTAGCAAACAAGTTAACTAATTTTCCTGTAATTTTTCAGAAAACTCTTCCTGCATTTAGAAAATAAAGGCAGTGAAAGGTCTCTCAAATTCTTCATACGTAAGAAAGAATTTCATTTTCTGATTTAATGCCAATTTAACTTCGGCATTAACTGTGTACCTGGGAACAGTGCCTTCTCCTCTAGCAGAGTTACTAAGTAACCACAGTGTTTTCTGCCCGAGACAGGTCAGGGATAAGGCTTAGTAAAATGTTTAAGGAGTTTAAACATTATCAAAGGAAAAAATGATTTACTGTACAAGGTAATGATGAAAATAATCCAGTACAGAAGTGGGGCTAATTGCAGGGGGGAAAACCTTCCCTTACAGAATTCTGAAGATTTTTATTTTACATGTGCAATTGCATCTTGCAAAGAAACAGTGCAATAGCGTTCAAGATTTTGTCAATAGACTGCAAAAATCACTTCTGGCAAACTTCTCTGCGTCGGCAATGAGATGGCCTAGATACCCTGGCAGCTCCTCTTTAAAAGCTTTTGTTTCCATGACAAGGCCTCATCACAATGGCAGAGATAAAGCATTAAAGAAAACTGATAGAGCAAACAGAAGGTTACACCGCTTTTCTATCGCTATTATTTCTCAAAGATCATCCTTGTATTCCAGGTATATTACTCTGCCTTTTTCCAATACAAAAATAATTTTCCTGTTAGATCCATTTGGATCAGGTACATTTCGTAACGTGTGTCTATGGTATGCTACGCACTGATACTTTATACACGCTTCATTGAGACATTACTTATCTGGTACATTAACAAGCATACTGATGTACAGCTGGTTTTCATTTTTCTAGTATCCCAAACTCCCCCGCATACTTTCTTTCTTTTCTTTCTTTCCTTCATCATCTGCTTTTCCTTTCAGCAACACCACGTGTACATTGCAGCATGTTGGAAGAGACATCATGTTATTTTTTTTCCCCGATAGCTTCAGATTGATTCTCTGGTGGTTATCTCACCACTACGAAACCTAATCTTTTAAAAATGTTCAAAAGATAACAGTCTGTCTTTAGACAGCTAGTTAAAATTGTTCACTCAGCCAAAAAGCATGCACTTACTGAAGTGACAGCCAGACACTAAAATATGAAGTATTGCCAATGATTTACAAATAAATTGCCTGCCTCTGTAGAACTTCTGTAAAATCTTTTGCTTGATTTTTTTTTCTTGTGGCACAAACAGCATTATAGAAAGCCCTAATTAAGGCATTAAGAAATATTAAATGCGGGAATGAACATTTAGACATGGTACAAGCCCAGCAGATCACACAATGCAGTGCTTTTTGGCACCCTCTTACTTTGTTGCTATAGAGAATTTCTCCTGCTGATGGGCACCCTTGGATCCAGGGCTAACCTCGTACTTACTTACGCAACTTTCTGAGTTTCTTGATGAGTATATCCTTACTCTGAAGTCACAGGTAACTATCACAATCCAATTAACATCTATCTTCTTGCGTGAGGAGTTTTAATCTTCTCTAGAAGGAACAGTCTTAGAAAATCATCAGTGCACCAGTATTTCTTGTAACAAGTTTTAATAATAATCTTAAAGTATCTTTTTCTTTATGCCTTTTAGTAATAGAAATGAAAGCACAAATGCTTGATAAAGCTATAAAAACACTGAACAGAAGCTTGGAATTTGTCAAAAAACGTGTATAAATTCCTCCCCTTCGCCAATACTCTCCATTATAATGAATATGGAAGGCATTAATAAAAATAATGAAGAAGGATAGTCTTGGAAAGAGCAGGGGCACTAGGCTCCCCATATCTAGGCAGTTTCTGAGTCTATGAATCACCTCCTGAAAGCGTAACTCTCCATCTCCATTAACTACACAGGGAACCCCCGACAGGAGCCTCCTAATTGAAAAACCTAACTTTGGCATCCAAAGTTGTGCATGTGTGTGGGCTGGGGTTGCGACAGGACCAGCAGCCACATGACAGACGAATTACTCATGCAGCCTTCAAGAGGCAATGGCCAGTAACCAAAAGGACACAGAAAACTCCCTTCAGCACCCACCGCAGCAAAGCCACAAGAGATTCCCATGGCGAGTTGGTGCTGTGAGACGGCCCATGCAGAGGGTCCACAGCAGCATTAACAACAGCAGATACGCTGTACTTTATATCTTCAGCTGCTCCTTTCCTTTTGCTCTAGGAACGTTGCCCTCCCTACTGCTCTTTGAGGACGTAACTGATCCCAGTGGCTGCTCTCTCTCTTAGTCAGCAGGGACTGACTAAGCCCTTGGATAAACCTGGTAACCAAACCCACTCCTTCTGAAGTGCTTTCAAGTACAAGAAAGTACATCTGCTTTAATGGGCATGAGAATTATCAATCTGGGATAGAAAACGAGCAATCCTAGCCCTGCAGCTTTTTTTTTTTTTTTTAAAAAAAAGTATTTATCTTAAACAATGCTGCATTTAAAAATGACCCATTCATACCAGTGGGAGATAAACCCTCTCAGGAATTTATTTACGATGACTTTATTAGCTAAGTGACAACAGGAAGCATACTAAGAATGCATACTAGAAAGGAAGGCACTTACTAGTAGGAAAGTAACTCCATTTCCAAGGACTGACAGTAACCAACACCCCAGATGATCTGTAAAAATCAATGAAGTTCTGCACCAGTGCACGATGAGTCAGCTAAAGCAACTGTCCTGTAACAATTCTGTATAGAAAAGCCTTCCTTCGCTCCTGAAATCAGTCAGTCAGAAGCTCTGTGTTCTTAGTTAATTCATCTGCCGCAAATCAAGGAAGTCAACAAGCAGCCATGTTTTGGACTGATTGAAGATGATGGTGTTTTTCTTTCTTGAAGAGGGAAGCAAGCACCTGAACGCTATCCAGATGAAGATGCATGAGCAATGCAGCATGAAAAACTATGCATGATGTACTTTAAATGCCAAGAGCCAGTGCAATCAGTCACACGAAATAATGTGTCAAAACTTCTAATGAGAGAAAAGGAGGCAGTTAAACCCAACAGAAATTCATTACGAAGCTGCTAAAGGTCAGCCTCTAAATTTACAACAAGTCATACATTAAAGACTGGCACACTGGTGCCGATCTCACACCACTGCTGATTTGCCTGAGCTAACCCGGAGCATATATCGCCAGTAGTGCACCCAGACTTCAGCTGTGACCGCAGATAACCAGCAGCTTGCCTACAACTTTTCACCAGAGAAGGCTTTCCACCAGTTTTAAGACCTGCCTGCCACAGCAGAGGATCCTGGAACAAGGGAAATTACCCTCTCTTCTGAAACAGACAGGCAATTCTCTTCACCAACCAAACTCTGTGGTTTCAAATTCAAGATTTTGAATATTCCAAATCATTGCTTTATATTTAACATTTGCCTTCATGACAAAAATCTCACATTGTTCACCCTCTGCCTTCATGTGCACAGAGCTGCTGCTATGCGTAAGAAACCAAAGGTGCCACCTTACTTGTACAGACCCGTCACCGTCTGCCTTCTACCCAAAGCAGCCAGCTCGGAGAGCAAACACACTTTTCTACCAACAGCAGCGATGCTGCCAAGAAAATTAACTCATTCCTTGTTTCATCCTGAGCTTTTTGGGCTGCTAGCAGAGCAACCCAAACCTGTATTATTTGCTTTTATGAAAGTAGCTACTGACAGCTCTGCTTGCATGCTTTTTGCAGAATGCTTTTATTAATTTTCTCACAAGTTAACATGCATATTAAGAACACCAAAGTGTACAAACCCCATTACCTAACAGTGAAGTGTTTCCTTCCCTTGCATACAGTGTATAACAGCTTTTAGATTATAAGTTTTACAATATAAAATGATGCCTTTTTTTGCAAGTTAAAAAAAAAAAATAAAAATTGCTTAACTCCTGTGCAGGCAAGCATCCAAATTAAAAATGTCTCTTCTCAAGAAAGATTGATCTGTTTGCAATGGAGCTACTTTCAAGAATATCATTGAGAAAAAAAAAATATTTTGTTTTGCTCACAGAGGAACACAAATAACTTTAGCTTTACTGGGAATAGGAAAAAGTAAACATTACTGCTCATTTCAAGATACAGGAAGACAGGTTTATTGGAATGCTTTATTTTTAGAAACATGATTTTTTTTTTCCAGTTCATTAGAGGAGATTTCAGGGAATGCAATAAACTAATAAACTCAGAGAAGTTGCAAACAGTTGTATTCAGTGGAGTCTTTATAGAATGACCAGTGACTGCTTATTTGTGCAGTAATTTTTTTTTTTTTGGCCAATGATACTTCATTTCCTACATAATAGTTTTTAAGTGATTTAAAAAAAACAAAATAAAGTAATTTGGACAGTATCTATCCCATGCTTCATCCAGTGACGATCTGTCACATTTTGTTAGCTGGCTAGAGGGTTTGCATATACAAACTCCATAAATTTTATTGGAAAGGAGCAAAGGGACAAATAATTAATTATAAGGAACACTAGGCTCTGAACATCTCACCCACAGCATTTCTTAACATACTTCTCTTAGTTAATAGAGCTGTTTTCAGTTTTGCTTCCTGTGTAACATTTACTTAATAACTTGCAGACAAAATACAGAAATATCCTAGGGCATACTCTACAGTTAGGTTCAGAGGCATAGATCTGCCTGTAATAAATTTAATTAGATTTGTATTATGTAATAAATGGAATGGGCATGAAGTAATAAATAGAAGAAGAAAATGAGCATGAACTGCTAAATAAAGGCATGAAAAAGAAAACCAATGCAATACATTTGAGTAAAGAGAAGTACAGTCTACTGTATATTAACAGGAATTCAATTCTTACCTTTGTTATTGTATACATCTAGATAGTTTGGTGCTGAAAAAATTGTGATTAGTGAAGGGAAGCCTGTTGTTTGGCTTTTCCTGTACATGCGATACCTAAAAGGAAAGAGAAGATACTAATTATTCCCCAATGTTGTCTGTGTATTTGTCACTGACCAAATATAGTGCAAAACCCCCTAGAACATTACTGCACTGGCTGTTAACAAATGCCAAGACAGAAAAACATGCACATGTGCTTTTTAAAGCCATGTAGAAAAAAAATATTTCCTGCAGGCTTATTCATTATACCCACTTGGGACAGCCAGGGATCCACACCACGTTCGGAAAGCTGTATCCCCATCTGAAACGTAGTGTGCCAGAGGTGGGTTTTGTTACAAATTTGCTCGGTGCGCGTCCCTGGAGCCAGGCGGCCTCTCTACGCACGTGCCCCCCGGGACGTTCCCAGGCTTTTCTTTCCCTCCGTGGGACCGCGGGTGGAGGCACCCACCACAGCACGTGCCTCAGAGGTGCACGGGACTGTCTTCAGGAGAGAAGTGCGTGTCCTCCGTGACCCTCCAGCCCCCTGCCCTCTCTGGGCACGCAAGGGACGGCGAGGCCGGGGGAGATGCAAAGTATGAGAATGGGAGGGGAAATAGGGGGTCAAATATTTTCAGTGCGGTGTCTAATCTCATCCGGCCTATTAGCCAGTTCCTTAACGCTTGCATGTTTTCATTCCCCTGCTGCCTTCTGAAAATAAAAGGCTTATTGGACCAACATATAATCAATCAAGCATTAAACCTGCAAGTAATTGGAAGAAACCAACCAAATAGTACTTCTGTCTTACTAAGACACAAGTAACACCAAATACTGCTCTTTAGTCTGCAGCTACAAGAAACTGAAGAATTTGGCAAACATCCACAACAGTTGCACTGAAACCACTGTATGGTTTCAATGCAATCCCTTCCACAAAATTTTATTTTTTACCCTTCATTGGAAAGTAATACAATAAAAATGAAATTTCATTACCCTTCGGTATTTCATGCCAGTTATTTTTGGCAGAGTAATAGCTTGCTTTTAATTGCATTGAGGTTTTTAAGTATGTGATAATTCAAATATTCAGAATAGCTTTTTATATGCACAGTGAATATTGACCTCATTCCTACAATCTTCACACTTTATCTTTTATTACTATTCAGGTTGGGTGAAGTTTCTACCTCCAAATAAACACATTAATAATTTATGCAAAATATGCAAAGCTATTTATTCAGATACCAATCCTTCATTAAAGCCTCACAAGTATGATACATTTCAATGAATAGATAATTTCTAATAATTTTTTAAAGCAGCATAAAAAATTCTGTCTTTACACTGGCAAGAGTTTCATGAGGGAACCATCAACACCACCCAGTGCTTGACCTGCGTTGTTTTTGCACACAGTGTCTTAATAAACTCCTTATATTCATTACTGATACTCCCACATAAAACAAGTTTTGGTTATTGAGTCCCACAAGCTTATTTTCTTGATAAAGCGCAAAACCAGTAGGCTTAGAAGTTTCAGGTAGGTGTGAAAGACCTAAGAGATGACGGTTCTGGCCTTCATGAGCCAAATCACTTCCCAGGCATCGTGGCAATGAGTGTGTCAGAAGTCTCAGGCACATTTGCAAAACTCCTTTTGCTGAGGTGAATTTGTTTTCCCTTCCAAGTTTGGGATCCAAATCACTTTTGGTCATTCTATGTCACTTAAAAAAAATCACTAAGTCTAAGTAAGTGGGATATATGAGTATCCTGTAACTCAGTAATAATCACATACAAGACATTCTAATGCCAGTGTATGTTTTTATAGCATTAATAAAAAGCGAGAGCTGTTGCAACTTAATTTGAAGTTTTCCAGGTCATTCTCACTCAGTTATTCTTTCTTTCCTTACTCTGTTTGACAACGGTAAGCCATTATTCATCATTAGTGCTCCCTCTCCACACATACTCACCCAGCATCCTGGGCTTCATGAGCTCGGAGTATAGATAACAAGTTATTGTGCTGTAGGAATTCACATACAGCTGGGTAACTGTTGGAAGAAAATAATAGCACCTATTATGGCATTATCAGAAGCATCACATTTAGCTCTAGCTTTCAAAAAAACGTTTCATCCAACATGCATCATTCATGATAACAGCCCCTGCTCTGCAGGCAGACTTCAGTAGAGACAACACTCACAGCAGCACCTTTTTTTTTTCCTCCCAACCTGTAACTGCGTGGAGAGGAATGCTGGAAAGTTGCAATTCATTATATAACAACAATCACCTTATTGCTTGTTCAGAAAGTAATTTCTTTTATTATACTTTAAGATTCAATGCACTCAGGAAAAAAAAATATGACACAATGGTTGCTTGCAACAGAAAACCTCCTCGTCCACTGATGACAGTTTGCACAGGCTGCTTATGGACACCTGATAAGAAAGTGGTATGTGGAAAGAGAGGGAGAAAGACAGAAAGAAGAAATGGAAATCAGACTCCAAACTGGAGGTGTTTGACCTTCTGAACTTTCTCTCCTTGACAAACGAGACGTATCTCTCCCCTTGGCAACTTAAAATGTAAATTCTGTGACTTACGAAACCCCAAAAGTGTGCCCACTGAATACGTCTTTCCGAGATGTATTCTACTGTATGAGTGAAAACAAAATCATTAGGTGAAAATGGTGATAGAGGGATATGATAGAGGAATCTCGAGCATGTTTTTCACTGCACAAGGAGTGTCACTTTCCAGGAGAATGGAGGAGCCCTTTCTTACAACCTCAGCACTGTGAACACCATTCTTGCTGTTTAAGATGCTGAACAGATTTGGAAACCACATACAAGAAAAACAAAACATAGCATAACCTGAATTCAGTTTTGACAGCACAAGTGTGAGATATTAAGTTTGCAGAGAAAAGCTATTTAAAAATCATACCTATATAAATGTTACAGAACTTAAAATGACTCCATTTTGTTGCTTTCAAAAATAAATTTTGTTTTTTTCTTCTCACTGCTGGGCAAGTTGGAGAGCAACAATCAAAACTGTTGCTCAAAAAAAAACCAAAAAAAATCAAAACTGGTGGCAAAAGGTGCAAACTTCACATAGCAGCTCTGAAATGTCACCTGATGGTTGCAGAAAAAGCAAAATAGATCCTGCATTAACATCCATTCACCATGTTTATTTTCCACTATTGATTCAACTCTCCCATAGTTCAAACAATAGAACAGCCGGAAAGGTTTAAAGAAGGAAATACAAGGTGCTGGGGAAGACACTAAGGCATCTCCATGACCACATCTGTGCTGGTTCTGCAGCACAATGGGCTCGCAGTGTGCCTGTAACTAACACAAACAAACTTGCAAAGTCTCTGAATCTCCCAGAATAAGTCACATACAAGTACTATGTTAGAGGACTGTAGGTATTATCAAAGACCCTGGCAGGAGCACACTGTTTTGCAGTGCCTTAGGGGCATCATGCAGTCATACAGTAACACTGTTATGCAAAATGCTTAAGTAAAAGCTGTTGCTAAACATACGGAGCAAGTCAAAACCAAAAATAATACAAAATATCTAAACCAAACATGATATAAAAGACCTGCTGTCCCAGCCATGATTTCATGGACCACCTTCAGAGCTCACTTGCAACCACTTAACAGCCCCATCAGTTTTTAACTTCATGCATGAAAGAGATGAAAATTCACACACACACAAAAAAAATCATGCAGAACCTAATGCATTGTCTTCCTTCAGCTTATCCAAGAGAAACGCTACTGCTTGCTTCCAACCTTCCTGGATATTTTGAAGCTGAAATGTCATTTGCAGCTAGAAGCTACAAACCCAGCGGAATGGTATATTTTGGACTCGACCCATCTAGCATACATTCTCAGTCGCAGGTTTAGTATTTGGAATTGTCTAAAAAGGTTGCCAGTAGAAAATAATTTCAATTCCCAAATTACGTGGGGTATCGTTTTGGCAACTGCAGTGATCCCAAATGCTGACAGGCTGCCATTCAAACCACTGGCAAATGAGAACTAATTTGCATACATTTCTCTTCATAATTAATTGTGACTAAATGTAGACTTATGGTACATTTTGTTTAGAAATTTTTACATTAACTTCTGAAAACTGGGGTCTATAATGAAAAATCTGACAGACAGTTGATTATGTTCATTATCAGTGCTGCTGCTCAAAATGTCTAGCCTATTACTTTTTTTTTTTCCCCATAGCATTCTTTTCATCCAGCGTTAAGTACTGCTTTTAAAGAAGATATAATGAAGTGGTAAAAAATGCTCCTAGACATGATAGGTTCTTCTTTCCATTCAAAGAACAAAAGGGTTGGGGTTTTTTATTCCTTAATTATCTTATTCTTCATAAAACCATGGAAAATAGACTTCTACAAGCAGGATTTGGCTGATTCTACAGGGCCTACACCTAGAAAGACGGAGATGTTACATAGGGCTCCATGGAAATACACACACGCGCACAAAATATCTGGCTGCCACCTTTTCTTCTAAGTGATTAGCGTGGCATCTATAATGAGCATGCAGTCGTATTACCCAGACCACTACAGGCCATGAGTAGTCTATGTGGATATTTTATTTTGAAAAAGGAAAAACAACTCTCAGACATTTTTCTTCAGCTACTTATTGAAGTCGGGGGCTGGGGAGAAGCAAAGATTTCACTATATGCAGCTGTTACATCTGCTACACCACTTGTGACAATAAATACAGGGCTTTAATTTCCAGCACTTTCTTAACATTAGTTTGTTCCTGCCCAAATGCAGTTTTATATTAAACAGTCTTCCTCAACACAAAAATACATGCCCTCCAGGTAAACAGCAGGAAGTCCTGCAAAATGCCAAGAAAACAGAGATTATGGCAAAAGTTATCAGAAACAAGCTTTTACAGAAAAGACTTCTGCTTTGATATTTTTTTCCTAATCTTTCTAATGAAAATTATCATCTTGTAATCAAATTCCCTGCTAGTTTTTCTGATCGTTACCCTTCCAGAAACACTCTCCTCCTCGCCCTGCTTTGCAGAGCCCAGACTGTAATTCAGATGAGCCAGAAATAAAGCAGTTGGCCAAGAGGGAAAACAAACAAACAGAACCCCCCCCACGCAACAGGCTTTTCCAGAACAACCCAGCCTTCTGCCTGCACTTCATGTGTCATGCTGAATCACGGAAGCGCTTAAACAAAATACCCACCACTAAGCTAGCGAGATGTTATTCTCCATGGAGTATGTGAGTGTGATATTCCCTACTTTGACATCCCTTTTCTCATTAAAATGCCTCATGCGTAGCTTACTAGTTCTGAGGTTTCTTTTGCATGATCACTGATTACTTCTACGCAGTTCTGAAAGACAAGCAATGCTTTGCTAACGTGAACCAAGATGGCAGATGTTTTCAAACTGTTCTTCCACAAATAACAGGAAAATTGGATGGATTTAATCTTTTCTTTTTTTTTTCCATGTCCTTCATCATACCATTAAAAGAGAGGCATAAACATTTCTTTAAAAGCAGGACATTCAAAGTTAGCTCAACAGCTTCTCTAAGATTGCATGCATGTATAAAAAAAAAAAAGGTATTCAGCAAAACCCATTGACCTCACACTCCAAAGGCAAATGCTTGGGCTGCCCTGCTCCCCTAGGCACTCCCAGCACCTCTTTCCACCTGCTTTTTCTTGCCCTTAGCTGTGCTGTCTGCAGAGCTGCACTGAGCAGCAGAGCAAGGAACTGCATGGGATTAGAACAAATAAACACACATCTTTTTTTGCAGAGTCATTATTTTTAAAATTGGATGTGTTCCCAGATGTGATGGAGAACACCAGCAATTCTACCAATAAAGCTGGACAGATAATGTGAGGGCAGCAAAAAGCTCCTGGCCTGGGAGAAGAATGGAAAAGCGGCCAAAAGAATCTGTTTAAAATGCTGCTACCGCAAAAACCCCCACAAAATTCATACAACTGTGCCTCACACCCTGAAGTAAAACACGCTATGGTCTTCAAAAGCTTTTAGCAGACATTTCTCTAGCCCTTGCGTACTCACAAACTTAACACGCATGTAAAGCAAACCACACAAATGATGTGCTGGCAGGGCCAAAATTATTATTCTACCCCAGAGCATCTGTAAGGCCGAACCATTTCACTGCTGCCCAAGGCTGGCAAGAGAAGTTCTCAGAGGAGTCTGCAATGCCAGTCACTCTTGCCACTGCTAACCATTTCTGCCTTTGGTTTTTTTTCTGCGTTGAAAAAATATAACAATGTAGTCAACAGCCAAACAGTTTTATAAAGCTCAGCATTCCTTAAGAACTCTTATGAAGCTGACTAAGAAAACCCAAGAGGCTGGAGCACCACACCTGCAGAAAACTTCGGAGTATCTGCTCTGCTTCTGAGGCCATCCATTGACTTTGGCCAGGCTCACGCCACTCTAGTTAACAGTCAGCAATTCAGCAAGTCTTATACACACAAATGATCCCAGAAAGTGAGTCTTAAGCTTGCACGTGTGCTTACCCCTGATAGGAAGCCCTTGATGTACTCTACATAGGATAAGACACTGCTAATTAACTCAGTGGTGCAAACAAACTCCCAAGCTTTGACACAGAGGAAATTAAACAAGCTGAGGATAGATCCAATCGCAATTTTCCACAGTTAGGATCATGCATGCTCCTAGTAACTTTGTCCAAATGCAATTGAAAGAACACTTTAATTCTTCATCTATCCAGTAAATCTTACGGGAATGACAACATTCCCCGTCCTAGTGGGGCTTAGAAAAGAGAGTTTTCTCCCCTGCCTCAACAATTGCCTAAACCCAATTAGTGACTGTCGCTCTGTAAGTTAATATTATTTTCAGAGAGAAAGTAAGTCAAGCTGACTTCTTCAAACTTTCTGTTCAGTGAAGGAAGGCATTCTCAAGGTGGTAAGTAGCAGTATATCTTGCCAAGTTAGATATGTTTGCTATAGAAATGCCGGAGAGTTACCGTACCACTAGTCCATTAAACAAGCGCAATGGGTCATTGGCAAGATCAGTACAACCAGCTAAACACAAATAAATATTCAGTAAATAAATTCAAGGCAAAACTCAATAAGCTGATAAACAAAGAGGAAAATTCTTTACTGGCTGGATCAGCTGAAAAATCTGGGGGAGGGGGAATCACTCAGGGGCAAATTAGTTCCCGCTTGTTCATAACATTCCCTGAATACAACATTATATTCTATGGGTAAGGATGAAAGAAAAGCTCCACTTAACTCATAATTGAAAAACAATTCACACAACTAGCACTCCGTTAATTATTTCTACTTTTTCATGAAATTGTATCAAACATGACCATGACTGTGAAAGATGAACAACCTTAAATTTCAGAAAGGGGAAATGAAGTCTCATTACTGTTGCTCTTTGTTCACTTTAAGGTATAGAGAACTTTAATAAATTGCTAAGAATTACTTCAATGTCACAGTTACTTTTCACTCTAGCATTGTGCTGTTGCTATTTCCAAGGATCCGTAAATTCTGACAATCCACACTGCAAAACGCTGTTGGATGCAAAAGGCGTGCGTTAAGTGTTGACTCTCAGCACCCTTGAAAAATTAAGCTGACCATTCTTTACGTTGCTAAATGACAGGTTAGGCCTGTGGTTTCAAGATCTGACATTTTACAGTGCTAGCCATAACAGTTTCAAGAACTCTTACAGAAAAGGAAATTTCCTGAAGAAAAACCTGATCAGTTTGAAATTTGATATGCTATACATGAACGATCATCTAAGAAATGCAGTGAAAAAGTTGTCAGACTACTGTAACCTACAGTCTTCATACTTTCTCGTATATATTTAGTTCATACAAACGACTCAAAATGTCACAAATTAGTTTTAGCTGAATGGAGAAGATTCAATGTACTCCTGAGCAGGAAACTCCCATTAACATGTTGCATGTACATAGCATTTTGTTATAGGAAATAACTTTAAATCAGAGAAAAGCCACTTGAAATTTGCCATTATAACAAACATGTCTGATAAAATGAAAATTATGTATCACAGTTATTTCCTGCAATTGATTAAGAGATCTTAATCATCTAGAAATCATTTCCCTGGCTCACGTGTGTTCCTGAAATCTTCCTGACCTTCCTTCAAAATGCTCACTGCTATCTTTTAATTTTCCTTTCTGGAAATGACTAAAGACACTAAGAAGTTTTATTTTCTGAAGAATAAACAAAGCCATCCTACCAACAGACATTCTTGAAGGAGGACTGCATAATTCAGTCCTTCCTTTACAAGATGAGCTGGCTGTTTAGGGAAATTTGCTCCTTTTCACAGGAAGTAACTAGATAAGGCAAGCAAAATTAGATGTTGCACACTGATGGATACTTTTTTTGCCAGGGATTATCATTAGCTAAACAATTAGTGACCTTCCAGAGTGACTAGAAACTTTTTTTAAGAGTAACACTTGCCTTTATATAACCTCAGATAACGTGACTCCAAGCTAGTTGTCTGCTCCTGTTATTAAGCAGTTACATGTCCCTCACACACGACCTGACAATTAGGTATCTTCCAAATATTTCTTCTTTTCCTGAAATATACACTTTTCTGAATATGAATCAGGACATAGACTAGAGCTGGTATATTTTCAGGAGGAAACATAAATATTTTAGAGAAATTTTATGGTAATTGTAAGAAATGGAGCTCTGAAAAAAAACCCCAAACCCTAAATTCTAACAGTTGTTCCAGTACATAATAAGCCCTGTGTCTTAGCACAGGGCGTGTTTGCAAGGCTTTGCACTTTTGTAAGAGAGTTTCACGAGGGGAAACCGCAATTACTCACTGTTCACACTGAGCAGTGCCTGGAAGTCCCAGGCATGCTCCAGCGTTCGTTGCTGCGGAGGGGAAGAGAAATTATTTTATCCCTCAGAGTCATAAGCCCATTTCTGCACAGATCAATTGTGTGCAACAGTTTGACACCTTCTTTCATAATGAGACCAAACACACTTATTGAGCACCTTCCAGACGTTATCGACCCGATGGCAGTGGTATGACTCGCCCACAAAAGTTGCGTGCCGGCAGCCCAGGCTGCAGAGCAAACCGCTTTGTTCTCAGCCCGTCCCCACGCTGCAGCAATTACAGCTCAAAGAAAGGACTAGGAAAGCTCATTTCTAAAAGTCAAACCATCTGTTACCTTCCTGCTAATGTTACCAACAAGGAGGTTGATTCTGGCGGCTCTGTCTCCTGGTGACTGGTGGAAGCCATTGATTTACTTTCGACGTGTTACTAAACAGCTATGGGTCAGGTACGTTCAAGGTGAGATTTTCTAAGATAATGAAAAAAGCTGGTTTTCTCACTTCTGCTGAGTTTGTTGGGAAAACTTAGACCTGCGTGTCACTAGCACGGGCTGTAGCAGAACCGTTCTCTTCAAAAGGTTCAACAACCTCGTAATATTTCAATAGCATTTTCACATTGCTCCTGAACAAAAAATAATTTTTTAATTAAGATTTCACTGGATACATTGCTCATTTTGCCATTTGACCTCCTCCTCCCCTGCCAGTTTTGTTACTCTGGTGTCCTTGTAAGTTGTTCTTAACTACTGAAACAAACAAACAAACAAAAGGCCAAAATCCATCAAAATCCCCGCACTGTCAGGGGGGGTTACGATGTAATCACTACCACTGTTCATGAGATAACACAGGTCTGTCCTATGATGAAGAGAGAATGGAAGCAGTGCTTGAGAAGTTCTTCATCACCAGCTCAAGCGCACCTAACAGGGCGTCTTCTGCCTGGTGTCCGCAGGACTTGGCCTACAAACCAAGCGATCTACCACTGGAAACAGAGAAAGGCAGCAGCCACCACCCTGGCAGAACTGGGGAAAAGGAACCGTTCGTCGCTTGATTTGGTGTCCCTGTGCATTGCCAAAGAGGGGACAGTGGGACATCCCCTGGCACACAAGGAAATCCACTCTTGTAACGTACTGGAGAGAGCATTTTCCAACTCTTCACCCGCCATGCTTAAAGGGCAATTACCACCGAGCAGAAAAGAAACAGAGAAGAAAGCTTCCTTTAAATAGTCACAAACTAACCCACCATTTGCTGTAGATGTCCTTCTATCCCCATTACTATTACTGTTTCTAGGAATATTCTCACAGTTATATTTTACTAATAAACATGAATAGAAAGAAATAATTTCAAAGATGAATTACAACTTGATGTCTTTGCATTAAAGTCCATAAAGCCTTGTTTCTGCAAGAATGTTACAGGCACTTGTCTGCATTTCAGCTCTTCGCAAGTCCCATTTAACCAATGCTGTTCAAATCCTGAATTTCTTGGGAAGAGCTACCCTCAAACATAACCAAAAGTCTGATAAAATTGAGAGAAAAAAGAAAGTACCTGCGTGGGGGAAATCACAATTTTTAATTTCCCTGCAGAGTAACATTTAGTGAGTGTTCCAATGCTGGCATCTTTCAATCAAAATTTTTATTTTTCAAACTAGAAATGTAGTTACCTACCCCTTTTTTAAAAGTGACACATTCATTCCCTAACTTAGGAGAACAGAAATAAGCAAAATACACAGGCTTTGGTGAATAAAAATAAGTCATGTTAGGGTTTCCCATTTGTAGGTGAAAGCAAAATACAAATAAACCAAATATCAATTTACCTGAAAACAAGGCAAGCCTGCAGAAAAAAAAGGCCAAATTATCTAAGCAGTGCCACGAACTTCAAGCAAACATTCATACTGCAAAACCAGAACAAGTTCACATACAGAAACCCACAGAATTCAGTAACATTCACCTGTAGAAGTACGAGCACCCCCTGACTGTGTTGTGAGTAAAGTGTTCCTGAGTCTTCTCGTTTCCAAAGTCCTCCAACGGGTCTGACCACAGGATGTCACACATAGGTCCGTATGCAGGTGGTTCCTTGAATCGATCTAACTAAGAAAAATAGGAGACAAAGAAATACTAACTTCTTTCAACTATGTATCACAGAAACACTGAAGCAAAGTTACTATTTTTTCATTCCATGGGTTGGCAAACAAAGACCCAAGGCAATCTATTTTTCAGCTTTGGGTTAAAGCTCTCAGCTTTAAAGCAATGGTTTTGAACAACAGTAAAACACTCCTTGCCAACACTGACAAAGAGGAGAAGGAACAGATAAAACCCAAAATTAAGAGATACAGTGGATTCTACATGAATTTTTGTGTGCCATTTTATTTTCCTTTTCTACAGTTTTGTGAAAGCATTTCAGTGGACAGGAGAGAGGATGGTATTTCTGATTTTGTGATTTTTCAAACATCATGACACTTGATATATGTGAGTGAGGTTCCTCAAGAAAAAAAGTACAATAGTTATTTCAAAGCAAATTCCCATTTTGATTTAAAAACATTTTCACAAAAAATTGTAATTAAACACCAAAACAACATCTCTGCATTCTTGCATGACATTCTTGCCATGAAATTCTTGTTGCTTTCATAACCCCAACCCTAATTATGCACCTGAAAACTCTTTCTGCCTGACTACTGGTATTAAAAAATTCAAATTATATAGAATGATACTGCAAATAAGACAAAGTATAGCAAAATAGGGAAATATTAAAAATCAGTATTCTTCTGCTTTTGTAACTATAATTCATTTAAATTAAATAACAATTCATAAATATGCAAAAACAATTCCTGCTGATTGCCAAAGATGAACAAACCTGCTAGTGGGGGAAAAAGAAATAGTGAAGATGTTAATGACCCTAATCTAGAAGCTGAGAGCTAAACAGCTTTACTCTGCCATTACATTGTTGCAAAGCCAGCTAATTTTTAGGTAGAGAATATTTTTGCTTAATGAGATAGTGAACCTTTACCTCAGAAACAAAACTTTACATTCAGTAATTTTTAAATTGTGCAGTTAACATCTTTATCTAATTGCTTTTAAACCAAAACATGTAATTACTGGCTCAAGTTTTGGGTTTTTTCAACCATATTAATTTCTTGGTAGCCTCAAATTAACCTCAGAATATAATTTATCTTTTAATAGCTTTGAAGCCCAGAAGTATATATATTCATGTTTGCAAGTCTCAAACTGCAAGGAAGAAATAAGAAAATCTTTTCTGCTGGAAACAATAAGCATGAATAGTTTAAATACCTCCTTTCAGAAATGTCAACTGAGATCTCTTTTATAAAAAACCTGAAAAAAATAATCTTGATAACATGCAATGACACTGGATTATGTGAAGAAACTGTTTGACACTGTTCTCTGACCTTTCACGAGACTGATAAGAAATTTCTCAGAACACAAGCATGAACTTACTAAGCTTCGCTTAGACAATTTGCTAGGTACTCAAGTGCAGTACTGTTAAAAATACGGCAGGCCCTATTAGGAATGAAGCTTTTGATTCTTTTTAAAATAACAACATTGTTTTGACTATATTCATTGCAATCATACCATATTTTTTTATTATATGTTTTAAGTATCGTGAGGTTTTTCTACAAAGTTTGTTATCCCTTCTGCAAGAAAGTGCAGGTGCTTACATTGAGCTAGTAGATAATACTTAAAAGAAATTAATGCTATGTATTCATTTGCTCCTAAATACTTACATACCTAATACATTTATTTTGTTTAGAACACAAAAATGAAAAATTCTTTGTTTTACTGGATTCTAGTGATTTCTTCACCTCAATAAAATATGACTAATTGCAGCAATTTCTTTTATGTTCTATTTAAAAAGACCTTTAAAAGGTGATGTCAACATGAATGTCAAAATGACAAACAAGCATCTTACACAAATGAGCAACAGTGAGAAAGGATTCAAGTTTTAGCTGCTGATGATTAACTGTTCACTTATTAGACTTGAGCACTATTCAGACTTACTTTTCTGATGTCATCTAAGGTGTTGATCTCTGGAGACAAGCCACCGTGTACACACAGGAATTGTTGGTTCATCAGAGCAGCCAAAGGAAGGCAGTCGAAGGCATCCATACAGGCATCGTATACACGTTCTGAATATTTGATTTTACCTTTTAAAGATTAAGATGGTATCAGAAAGTGCCATCAATATTTAAGAGGGAAAAAGAAATTAGGATGCTGCTTAATATCTCTTGCTCTCACTGTTCTCTCTTGCACTGAGGACTGTACCAAAGCTTGCCTCCTGCAAAAAATTCTTTAGGATTATTGTTATTCACTGCTGGAAAAAACCTTCAGATTCTGAGGTGAAACTAATAAAAGTTCTGCCAAGTTTATTATATTTTTCTAAAAAACTGTAAATAAACAATTCAATATACCATTATGGTCTGCCATGAAATCTATACAGCAAGCCTTAAAAAAGCCTGCTGAATGGTTATTATCTACTACATTATCACTCAATATGCTCTCTATGAAGCAATCAGAACTTTAGCCCAGTCCCTTATAATTAATTATCTACAGAAATGCCATTATGAAATGAACGAGGTGGTACAATGAAGCTGAAATGTTAATTTACCAATACGCATATTAAACTCAGTAAAGCATGAAGCCTTTGAGCCAATTAACATTTCCTTTATCCCCGATGCTAAAAAGGGAACACAGACTTATGGCAATAGCTTCAGCTTACAGTACCACAGGAAAAGGAAAAAAAAAAAGCTTCATTGTGCAGGTGAAGGTCTGTATCTAATGAGCTTTTATGTGTCACTGTATCCTTTCTTGCAACACAGAAAGGAATTCCTATAAAAAGAGCATATCAAAAAGTTTAAGTCTACTTTACAGAGTAAATGTGAAAATACTATACTTAAAGGAAAAAAACCCCAAACATAAAAATTCCTTGCATTTTTCTCCTACCGCAGGTGAGACCCGGTGAGATGCCACCTCCTCTGCCAGCAATCAGGGACGTGTCGCAGAGGTGCCAGAGCCGGCGTGCCAGCAGGTTTTGCCTGTCCGGCTGCTGCATGGGGCACCAAACCGGCAGCCACTGCAATCACGGATTTACCGGGCCCAGATGGCCCCGCAGTAGCCACAGGGCTGCTGCCCAGGCCAGGGTGGCAAGCTGAAATGGCTCGATAATTGCAGCACCAAGTGATGACACCCCCGGGTTTGTACGGGGGGGTCTAACCCTTCCTTTCTCCACCACTGAGACACCCTCCCCAGCCCCTCTGCAAGATGACTGCTCCCTCAGGGAACAGGGATTACAATTTAAAATTCATGGTAGGTAACATGAAAAAGTACATTTGAAATTATTGATGGTAAACCAGCATAAAATACTCACAAAATAACAAATCAAGTTGTTCAAAAGGTAGTTAAGAGGAGAAAGGTTAAGGTAGACTTACATTCTTGCTTAAATGTGAAATACTCTGTTAAATGTCTACATTCATGATTCCCACGAAGTAAAAACAGTGTTTTGGGGTAAAGGATTTTCAAGGCCCACAAGTACAGCACACACTGCAAATCAGAAGGAAGAAAGAAAAATGGAATTCATAATTAATGATGTAATTCAATCACTTGTGTTTCCCTTCACCAAAAAAAAAAAACCCTAGCAGAAGAAAAAGTATTCCGCATGAAACATTTCTTTTCAACGGCTTAACTTCACTCTTCATACATTACACGCAAACATTTCTCTGCCCTTCAACCTGGACTGGCCGAAACTAGTATCAGTACATTCTGATAAAGTTTTACACTTTTGCTAAGTGGTATCTCCCCGTTCGGCCGCGCGTTGCCTTCACTGGCCCCAGCTATCAAGAAGTAATCGCTGCGCATCTCTAAAATGGAGCGCGCCCTCTTCACCTGGCAGGTTAGGCAGAAACCCGCCGTGGAAACAATTTCACCGGAAGATCTGCATTTCCTGGCTTAAGGAAAAGTTGCCCTGGAACAATTCAACCCACACTTCAGGAAATACCTCAGCTTCCAACATTACACGGTTTTTACATGAACGCTTGTTCATTTTTTCACTTAACATTGTTCTGTACAACCAACCAAGAAAAAAAATCCACAAAGCTCTTGCATTAAATGAAGTTACGACAAAGCTTCTATAAAGCCTTTTATCTTTCGAGACGATTTCTGTTTGAGATGACATTTCTTCTAGACATGTTTTTAAAGATAAAAAAAGACAATGTGGAAAGGCTAATGTCTGCTCAGACCTCTCAAAACCATCCAATTAAAGTAGTTGTTTTAAAAACAAAACTGACATGGCAACCATGCCAAAGCCCTACGAGACTCTTGACAAATGAGTAACCTTGCAAGCTTCATGGAAGATTTATCCATTGTGCAGGATGACCCTTGCGCTCAGGTACGTGGCTGACAAACTCACATTCATCCCGTGAGATGAGGCCACCGTCTGCAAGAACACTGTACAGACCACAACGGCCTCTCAAAAAACATGAGCTAGAAAACAGTCTGAACGATGTCTCCTCCAACCCTTTCTTTCTTAAACATCCATGAACTGCCGAACTGTTGCACAAGAAATAAAAGGTGTCAAAACTCCTCCACTTTCATTTGCAACTACCTCCTAACACTCCCCTTCATTCTGTTCACAAAAATTATTTACTTTATTTACCTTAATAATCAATAGTTTGGAAATTCAGAATGTATTCCTAACCACGGTTTCTGCTTAGAGAAGAATCAACATTTTTGTCAACGTAATGCCTCTAAATTTGTACGGTATGAATTCCCTTCTACAATTCAGAATGTCTTGATAAATAGACTAACTACGTTAATCATGTCTCAACATTTTGATTTCTGCTCCCTCATTTGCTACACAGTCCTCATCTCAAAAAGAAAAAAAAAGAAAAAAGGAAAAAGGAAAGGATATGACATTTTTTTGTTTGTGCTAAACCTCACACTATCCATAGATAATTACATAGCAGCAGGGGTTTTATACTACTACTATTTATACTACTTTGTCTTGAATTTATTACATGTAAAGATCTGGATGCTCTGCCTGCACTCCGTAATTTCTGTTCTTCTACTCAGAGGGTCGAGAACTGGGTGAAAAGAGCAGAAAGTACAGGCAGCTATTGCCACTGCAGGACGTGAGAAGAGACGTCAGAAAGCCAGGTAGATCTCGCTGACGTGATCCAGCAGGAAATTACGGTGTTAGGTCACAAGGTTTGCAGAGAGAGAAGACTTGGGTTTGAGGATTTCACTTCAATGGGGAAGGAAGCCTGCACTTCTCCACATCAACAGTGCCATTCTCTCTTTGATGACATCTTCTTCATTCCTCCAAAAATTACCAGAATCTTCCACTTCTTTGAACTTACTGGCTAATGCAAAAATTTGATGTAAATGTTGCGAGACAAGAAGTTTAAAGTGACACCTCCATCCATGCAAGAAAAGTTTCAGCTTTTAAAGTTTTATCTAAGTTACCTTAGAGCTTCTAATCCTGCCAAAGCACCTTATAATTTAGAAAAGCACAATGATTAGTGCTTAGATGAAATGCTTCATTAAAAAAAAAAAAAAAAAAAAAAAAAAGAGGAGTGGTTTACATTTCCCTTGTAACTAAGTTTTTCATTTTTATAAAGCCTTGGAAAGATTGAAATGAGCACTAGGTACTTAAAATATCATCCAGATTTGGGAAGCAGGGAAAATAAGGAAAGCTGGAAGTTTTATCTTTTTGGCATTTAGTACTTGCTTATGGGTAGATCTCAGTATATCTGCCTATCACAGATTTATTTTTTCCTTTTTTTCTAGGCTTCCTCTGAAGCACTCATGAGAACCAGACCTAGAAGATAACAGAGAATCAATGTAGTCCACTGCAGTTTCCCTGCCACTATCCAAGTAATGTAAGCCCACCATTCACAGTTTGTGTTGTTTTCAGTGGTACCATATTGAAGGCTAATTTTGTTTAGATAATTCCTTTAATTTTCTCCTTTTTCAGTGATGTAATATTGTAATAGTAAACAAGAACTAATTAGTAGATGGGTCTTTTCGCAAACTGAACAGCAAATATGAGGGTGAAAATTTTTCATGGCTTTTCAACTTACAGTCATTTACATACAAAAAAATTATGTCTAAACAACATATAATGAGTAAACATTCTGGTTTTATTTTTTTTTAACTCTGCTTTGCATATCATAATTTTCACTGAAGTCAAAAGATTTACGATCATTTGCCCTTGTTGAAAAATCTGAGTTTACAATCTTCAATTATTTGGTAATACTGCCTCCCAATAGCAAAATTTTAAAATATCCCCCCCCCCCGCCCCTTTCATCAAGAATATACAACACATCAACTCTCCTGTAACTCTATGTAAAATGTACAGCAGTGACCTTGCAATCTGGACATCCCTGAGGTATTTTTGGCCTGTCTCATTTCATACTATCAAAAAAAAAACCGGTTACATCTCTTAAATGCCAGCCCTGAAACTGCACCCCCTGCTTACTTGCTTAGTGTCTTTCAGCTGTTGAATTAGCAGCTATGTTAAGTTTATAACAAAGAGGTAATCTGCCCACCTCCCAGCTCCTATAAGTCAAGCTGTTTTCCTGCTGGGGTTCTGGCAGCCTCAGCATCAGGAAAGAAAAGGTCTGTGCAATTAAGCACTGCGTAAGCCAAAGGCACATATTTTCAAAACAGACTTGGGATTTAACTCCACTGTTGCATGATGAATTTGAGCCTTCGCACAATTCGACATCTCAGCACCCTCCTGAAAAGGAAAACCAAAAGCCCCAGACCTCTTGCACGCATCTCGAGCTACAAGCTCAAGACAAGGAACCTTGAAAAATTGTTACCGTTGCCACTAGATTGCCACCCCAGAAACACACGTAACACAGCGCACTCCCTTCTGGGTGCTCTTGCACTGATCATGCCGGGAAGAAAAACACAGCTCGTTCTGTTAGCTGTGTGGCTTTGCACGGGTAACAAAAGATGACCTCTCCCTCCAAAGGGCTGATGGCATCGGGCACTCCCCCAGCAGCTGAAATTAAGTGTGAATAAACACAAGGGAATTCACACTCGACAGGATAATTTGAGCCACGCGTTGCTAAGGTGTCTGCTGATGCTCTGTGAACTGTGGAGCAGTATGCTGGCATAGCTCCTTCACTCTGTAACTAACACACACCTCACCTGAATAGAAAAACTGCACTACTTTAACTGCATTGAAATCATTATACCATCATAGCACCTAGTACAGGTACAGCTTTCTCAGATGGAATAACTATCCCAACGGAAACCACGTACCTTTTTACACACACAACTGCATTCACACTACTGGTATGACTATATATTAGGGCTTTATTTCAGAGACAAATAAAGATACATTGCATCTGTAACCAAAACACAAGAGAGGCAAGTTATTGCCATTTCTGAACTACCATCCCTTGAACACAGGGAAAGAAAACTCTGAACACTACTGAAAATAAGAAAAAAAATTGTATTGTCTTCACTACAACCAGGATTTCATTTTCCCCCCAACTTTCAGGGCATTAAAGATGATCTCTTCTCTTAATGCTCTGCTGCAGAACAGGGGCAACAAAGTAGCGCTACTTGCATCAACCAGACCTTCAGTGACAATTTATAGTCTTTGCCACAACGTTTTTGCCAACGTGCTCTAATTTTACCTGGTTTTTGTGCTTCTAAAACCAGTGCTCATGTACATACAGGTTGCATATTTAAAAATTAAGTGAATCCACTCCTTGTGGTCAGGGTCTCAGCTGTTTCTAACATGTTCAAGAATCTCATTCTGATCATTCTACTTCTGATTTTTTTTTTTAAACCTCTGTTGAATATTACCGAGCTGCTTTAGGATCTTGTTTTGACATCTGCATGGTACTTTAGCACCTCTAGACTTCAATTATTGCAAGACTCTCTTCTACCTAGTCTCCCAGATGATTTTATTAAAAGTGATCACTTGCAGAACATTGCTTCTTGCCTCATACTCTTTTCTAGTGTTTAGACCACCATACTCCCATTTCAGCCCTCGGAAGGGCCTCAAAATGTCCAAAAAGTAAGGACCTCTTTTTCAACCAAAAAGTGACTAGAAAATTCCTTTTCTGAAATATTCCTCTAATTCTTATAACTAGTACTTTCTAAACAGGTATCCAAGTGTCGGCTCCTAGCTCTCTTTGTGGGACCTCATGTCTCAGCCCCAGCTGTTTTCTGTGGAGATGGGTCCCACAGAGCAATGGAAGCAGAGCGGGGAAAAAGGTGCGAGTGACCTCCAGGGAACCGTCCCATGTTGTCTCCCTGCAGCCAAAAAGGGGTTCTTGGCATGTGGGGGGACTCACTCTGGGAAGAGCTGGCACAGGACCAGGCAAGCTGTGAGGATGGCCCTGACATAAACGGATGTTCCAGTCTGGGAATCTAATATAAACAAAAATAATCTGAATTTGCTGAATTACTAAACATTCATGGGTTTGAGGAGAACTGCCCAGCAAAAAACGAGATCTTACAAGATGTAAATTTTTGCTACAGAGAAACATATTTGCTACTGTTACATAGAAGAACAGAGCAAGGAAATTTAGGATAATTAAGGTATTAGGATTTTCTTTGCTCCAAGAGAAGTGAAAAAACCACATTGACTTCACCAGTAAACTATTCCTGATCGACCAAAACTATTTTAAATCAAGCTGTTTATTGGGAAACCTTAACACATTAGAGCAATGGAGAAAACTGAAAGGTGTTTATTCTTCCAATAAAGTCCTAGAAAGTGCACGGAGACTTGAGAGATGACAAACATACGGCTTCACCAGCATTCCCTTCACCCACAGTTTACTAACACAAGCTTATTTATATGAAATTCTTTTCCTGGGAGAGACCGGTTAATAATTTCGAACAGTTCACTGAGTTCAGGAGCATTTCAAGCACCAGATGCTTTTTTAATTGATGCGAGGTCCGATGGTCATATTCCATACTCACTCCAAACACCTCATTTTGTTCTTGCTAGAAATACCACAAAGACAGTTTCTCCTTCTGGAATTTCAGTCCTTGCATTTGGGAAATGAAGATGTATGAGCATTTTGAACCTTAAAACACAACTCTGGTTTTGTTCACTTTGAAGATTGGTTTAATTCTCCATATCTTAACTATCTGCTCTGTCAAAAATGGTCAGTATGTACCTTGTGATATTCAATTGACATTTAAGACTGCATGTTTTTATGTGGGATTGGGCAGGAAAATAATTCCAACAGTTCGTTTACATAATAGTATTAATGCATTATAGTCGGTGTTTACTCTGATTGTAATTTTTCCAAGACTGTCTCTACGTCTAACGTAAGGCATTTATGTCTGCCTTTCAAAAGAGAGTTTTCAGACTCAGGTAGAGATTAGTCATTCTTCCTTACAACCCATTCCTGCAGAACCACTTATACTCTAAGTATTCTAAATTCTTTGGATTTAAAAATAGCCCTCTATTTTGATCACTTGGGTTTCTTTTCTCCAATGACCATAAAACTTGTTTGAAAGTGAGAACTGAGGGGTTTCTACTCTGGAGTTAAAACCCTGGAACGGTGCACAAGCACAACAGGGAAACGTTATCAGTTATGGAGCCAAGGAAACAAGTGTGCCGTACCAGATATTGCAACTTGCAGAAATTTGTTATTCTAAGTGAAGAAATACTCGGGCTCTGCCAAAAGGTCAAATGGAAAAGAGAGTGCAGCTACAGGATAAAGATTTGGTCTGTGCTGAGAAACCTCGTTTCATCTTATCTACATTGACATTTTTTTGTTTTACCTGTTGTAATTCCTTTATTAGTCTCTCATCCTGCAACACCTTGCTCAGAATTAATTTCAAAGACATGAAACACCCCCTTCAAACAGTGGAGCTACATCTAGTAAAAATGGAGCACACATGCCAAGGATTGAATCCCTAGATCAAAAGCTCCATGGGGCAAGGACTGTCATTTCTGCTGACTGCCTTATACA